TACCAAAGGGAAAAAAAACTGTGGGATGCAAATGGGTGTTTTCAGTAAAATTCAATGCAGATGGATCTCTTAAAAGGTAAAAAGCGAGGCTAGTAGCAAAAGGATATACCCAGACCTTTGGTGTTGATTATCAAGAAACTTTTGCTCCAGTGGCAAAAATGAACACAGTAAGAATTTTATTGTCTCTGGCTGCTAACTTTGATTGGACTTTGCAGCAGTTTGATGTAAAAAATGCATTTCTGCATGGAGATCTTGAAGAAGAAATATATATGGAAGCTCCTCCAGGATTCAGTTTTCCGAAGAAGAATAGGGTATGCAGACTAAGGAAGGCACTGTACGGACTGAAGCAATCCCCTAGGGCTTGGTTTGGCAGGTTTGCAAGAGCAATGTTAGCAATGGGTTACAAACAAAGTCAAGGTGATCATACTCTGTTCATAAAACACTCTTCTTCAGGGGGAGTTACAGTCCTCATTGTATACGTAGATGATATTATTGTCACTGGCAATGATTAAGCTGAAAGGGAAACTCTTAAAGCTAAGCTGCCCACGGAATTTGAAATAAAAGACCTAGGCAAGCTGAAATACTTCCTAGGAATTGAAGTTGCTCGCTCTAAAGAAGGAATTTTCGTCTCACAACAAAAGTATGTGATTGATTTACTGAAAGAAACAGGAAAGATAGGCTATAAGCCCGTGAAGACTCCCATTGAACCGAATCATAAGCTTGGAGAAGCTGTTGATGATGAGCCAGTTGACAAAGGAATGTATCAAAGACTTGTTGGAAGATTAATCTACTTGTCTCACACCAGGCCTGACATCGCCTATGCAGTTAGTGTAGTGAGCCAATTTATGCACAACCCAAAGGAGTACATCTCCAAGCAGTATACAGAATCCTGCAATATCTAAAATCTAGTCCAGGTCGAGGCTTATTGTTCAAGAGAGGATTGTGCTTGAACTTAGAAGTTTACACAGACTCGGACCATGCAAGTTCAGTGTCAGATAGAAGATCAACCTTGGGTTATTGTGCCTTCCTAGGTTTACATGGAGGAGCAAAAAGTAGCCAGTAGTTGCAAGGTCAAGTGCAGAAGCTGAATTTCGTGCCATGGCTTTAGGAATATGTGAATTATTATGGTTGAAAATAGTCCTAAAGGATCTTGGTGTTTCAGTTGAGAGGCCGATGAAGTTATATTGTGATAACAAGTCAGCCATCAATATTGCACATAATCCAGTGCAACATGACCGCACCAAGCATGTGAAAGTTGATCGCCACTTCATAAAGGAAAAGCTCGATAATGGACTAATTTGCACTCCGTATGTCTCAACAAGAGGACAACTAGCTGATGTACTAACCAAAAGGTTAGCCAGTCCTGCGTTCCAAAGAATTGTCTGCAAGCTGGGGATGGAAGATATTTATTCCCCAGCTTAAGGGGGAGTGTTGGAGAATTACGTGATTTATGTAATTGTTAGATAAATTTGGAAAGTATTAACTGTTTGATTTTGTACTAATTATAGGCTAATATAGCTGGTGTATTAAAGTTTAGGTTGACTTATTTTATTTCCTGATCTTAGGGATTTGGTTGTATATTCCTTAATTTACTGGATTCTGATCTGATTGTATTCAGCCTATAAAGGTTGGGCTGCTTTGTATTAGAAAGTCATGAAATATACTCCAGTTTTTCCCAATTTCTGTGTTACAAAGACTATGACGCATGCGCGAAATATAAGAGGTGCGTGTGTGTTTAGAAAGCTCACACACAACGCACCAAAACTGATGGGCTCTACAAGCTCTTCGTAATGAAGGAAACAAAGATAACAAATGCTGAAAATTAGTTTGTCGTAGACGAGCATGCCATAAATCAAGAGTTTGGTTTGTAAAAGAATGCCTTCCGTAGTCCGGTAATACGAAAGCATGTGCAAGAATTGGAGATGTCCCAAAGATGTACAGCCCGTCTCTCTCATACCCCCTGCCAAAAATCCTCTTCGTATCTAGGTCCTGAAAAACATAGTGATCAGGAAAGAAAGTCACTGAGCAGGCCAAGGAATGAGTTAAGCGGTTAATAGATAATAAGTTAAGGGAAAGGTTAAGCGTATGAAGAACAAACTGTAAAGATAAATCAGGAGACAAAGGGACAGTACCCTTACTAATGATCGGTGTAAAAGAATCATCAGCAAGGCGTACTTGCTCGGAGGATGCTTCCATATCCGAAAAATATCGAGACTCACCAGTCATGTGATCAAAAGCACTAGAATCTATGACCCAAGTTGGAGGAACAATACCAGATTGAGAGGCATGGAATGCAGGTGGGGTACCTAAGTGAGCTGCAATTGGTGTAGCTGAAGGGATGGTACCTAACTGAGCTGCAGCAGATGTAGCTGAAGGGAGAGATGCCTGTGATAAATGATCTCGGATAATAGACCCAATTTGTGTATGCAACCGATGCATAGCAATACATCCAGGCGGAGGAGCAGGTGGCTCATGGGTACCAATGGACTCAACAATAGCAGCAGTAGAAGAAGTTGTAGTGCTGCTAGATCTGAGGTGTGGGTAGAGCTGGAAGCATCTATCCTTAGCATAACCATTTTTTCCAGTGTGTGCACATATAGTAGAAGTCCTCCATCCACGGTTACTGCCACGCCCATGGCTGCGAGTACCAGATGGTCTAGAAGAAGCGACTAATGCCATTTGATCAGTGCCAGGTGCAGTAAGTGTAGCAGGAGCCATCGACGGTGTAACCTGACGTCGACGATGATCCCCATCAATAATAGCAAAAGCCTCGAAAAGAGAGGGTAGAGGTGTAGTATTCAGAATTTGAGCACAAAAGGCCTCAAATTCTGGACGGAGTCACATAAGAAACTGATAAATCTGATGGCGCTCGTGTCTAGCCTTAATAATCCCTGCAGCCTCTGCTAAGATATCACCAAGGGACTCATAGTGAGCAAGCTCCTCCCAACGTGACTGAAGGAAGGCAAAGTAATCTGCAACTGACAGCTTCAAATTGTCTTAGGTAGCTCGTGAGATATCTTGATGCAACTCATAGATCCGGGCTTTATTACGAGCATGAGCATAATTCTTAGTGAGAGCAATCCATAAGGTGTGTACAGTGTCATGATACATAAACATATTATAAATACATTGCTCCATAGAATTGAATAGCCACCCAAGAATGGTACAATTATCAATGTTCCATTGTGTAAACGTGGGTTCAGCACATGCTGGTTTCTTAATAGTGCCCAATAAATATCCAGTTCTACCCCGACTCCCTAAATAAAGTCTCACTGATCTCGACCAAGACGGAAATTTTTTCCCATTTAATAAAATTGTAGTAATCCTTTGGGCTTGGGAACTATGCCAATGTTATCCTTAGTCTGAACAGATTCCATTTCTCAGATTATGATGATATAGAATCAAATCGCAGATTCTTACCGTATTGCAGATTGTAAATACTGCTGTCTGCAAGTCACAAAGGGGCTGGAGTAGTCTTCCAGTGAGCTGCTCTGTCTGCAAGAATGAAACTTAGCAGAACAATTCGTCAACAGCATGTACTGACCTTGCGGCAGTCAACAGAGAATGAAAAGAGGCTGGATGATTCGTCAACAGCACATAACAACCAAGCCGGTCATTAGTTTAGAGAGAGACCCCTCTGCCACATGAAGCAATGGAGGGAAGAAGAAATACCCCCGAAGGGGTTTGGTTTGCTTGGGTGTGGTTTAGTGGTTGGTGACTGAAAAATTTAAAGCACACAAAAAGGGGACAGGATGAGCCAAGAGAAGATGAAGTAGAGATCAGGCAGTGGACTGTGTGTCGTGTTCTTGGCTCTGATACCAAGTTGAATGTAAAAGGCTCTTTGGTCCATTTGTGGCCATGATTTTGATCTTTTGAAGCATAGTTGCCTTGGAATGGCATGTAAGCCACAAATTCTCATTAGCCATATATTATATAAGTGGAAAGTAAATCAAATCACTGATCCTATGCCTCTAATAAGCACATGATGAAAATAATATCATATAAAATCAAATTAAGATCAGATCAAATCCAATCCCTAAAGATACTCCCAATACAGATCACATCCCTATATTTTCTTCCAATAACTACCAACCCAAATGCCTTGAACCTGCAGTATATATAACCAGTGATTTGCTGGTAATGCAAATAACTCATGGTTTTGAGTTCTAAATCAGGGAAGCTTACATAAACTTCAGCTCGGATCTTCTATGATGCTAAAAAACAACACTAAGGTCCAAAATGAGTGTGAGATTTTGTCACATGGAGATGCTAATGCCAGGAATATTAAACCAACATGAGTATGATAAACAAACTTTTTGTCCAAGCTGAATAGGAAGAAAAATAAACAAGCAACAAATTCAATCAGAATATTGAATAGAAGGATATTAAGCCCAGACAAAATTTCATTCATAGCAAATATTATAACCCTTTTTGATTTTCTAATTAAAAACCAGAGCTTTTGATTTGGGCGGTTACAGCACAATAAGGTAAGACAGTAGGTGGAATTTGATACAAGGAAATTCGCAAATTGCCTACTTCTGCATGCATCAGGTACTAAAGCTCATTAACTTTTTACCAGGGATTTGGGTCATCTGCTTTTGTGTTCAATCAGGGCTTTTCAATCATTTATAATGCCGATAATTTAACAAATTGAAGATATTTGCTAATTCAATTGCTCAGACTCTTCTAAGAACACATTCGCTTTTAATTTTCATGGCAACATATTAGAGAAGATTGAAAAAACATACCCATGTTTCTTATCCCATTTTGTAGATGAATGGATGAAGTGATGAACAATTTAAATGCTAAATTTTCTTTTTGGTCATAGAACTTTGGAAACAACTGCACTATTAGAAAGAGAGTATTCAAATTGCTAATATTTTGTAAATCAGCTGAAACTTCTGATCTAGTACCCGTTTATGAACCATTCAGCTACGTGCAGTGTTCAAGATGAATACAATATAAATGAGCATCAAAATTAATGAGTTTAATGTACTTACTTGATCATCATGCCAGCACACTGGAACTTAACACGGACTTTAAAATATGTCTCCAGCTCCCCAATCCAGAGAATTTACTCTAATGATCTTCAGTGAATCATTTCCTTTGTCCTCTTGCTCTCTGTGAATTTCCCTGGCTGAAATTACTGCTGAATCACTACAACTTCTTACCTCAATTGTGTGTAGGGTACATATATCCCCTAATTCCGATGGAATCTCCTTGAGTTTACGACAATTATGCAGCACTAGATGTTGAAGCATTGGAAAATGAATGTTGGAGGCATTCCATTGTTCAAGATCTATGTAATACAATCTCAAGTATTTGAGTCTATGAAACCCTCCATCACTTGTTTTCCATATTGACCCGATGCAGGCATGAGACTCCAGTTTGAGAACCTCTAGGTAGGGTAACATCCCAAGGACTGACATTTCCTTCCACATGAGAGCGGTATTTGACAAAGTTAACCTTTTAAGATTTGGGGGGAACTTAATGCCTTGGAGATTGAAATTATGGTGGCGAGGAACAAACATGTTTGACAACTTCAAGGTTTCAAGACACAGTAGGAAGTCTAGATCAGGAAACCAAAAATTATCAGAGTTGACTGTATTAAACGACCCACAAAATCCCAACTTCCGAAGATTGGGAGTCCTTGCCAATAAATCCTGGCAATACGTTGTAGGATCTATATGTGAGATGGTTAGTAGGTTATGCAATACAGAGGAATATCCAACCTTTCTTACGAATATACTTTTCCCCGCAATGCATAGATGCCTTAATGTTAAGATATTCCATAGCTCATTCGGTAAGACTGATTTCTCCACATGTGATATGATAAGAATTTCTAGATGCCCAAGGTTTTCTATTGATGCGGGGATTTCCTGGAACTCACCCCGAAGAGCTAAGTACCTCAGAAGAGATAGCTGAACTATTTCAATTGGAAAAGAGAAGATACTGATGGCCCATAAATCCAAAACCCTAAGTTGTTCGAAGGTCTGACAAATGAATGAAATTCTCTCAGTAGGTAATGAAATCTGTTGAGAGACAAAACACACGAAAGAGTGGATGTGGGGAAAAAAAGGCTGTGTATAATTGTTATAATTTAAAAAGAATGAATCAACACATAAGCGAAAATGCTTCTTTGCAGTAGGAACTGAAGGAGGAGAAGAAGAAGATGGACCTTGATCATACCCAGGATATGTTCTGATTCCATCCTTGTAAAACTGCATTAGGAAATTCTCTTCCGAGGCTTTTCTCAAGCATAAATCGTGCAACAGGTCATGGACACGACATGCTTTGATTCCACCAGCTGACCTTCTTTTGGCTACCAAGACCAAATTTCTATCAATCAAATCCATCAAGTATTTCTCAGCCACATCCTCCAGGCTCGTGTTTTCGTGCCCAATTTGGTTTATAAATCCCTCTGCGATCCATAACCATATCAACTTCCGCACTGAGATTTCATAGGCCTCAGGGAATGTACCAAAGTAGAGAAAGCATGATTTCAAGTGATCAGGCAAGTTGTTGTAACTTAGTGCTAGAATATCCATGCATTGCGCTGTATCACTTCCAATGTATGAACTTAATCTTTCAGCAACTTGCATCCACGAATGTCGATTCTTGTCCATCTTTGCAAGAAGTCCAGCCACCACAACAATTGCAAGCGGTAAACCTTGACATTTTCTTACTATTTGCTTTCCGATATCCATCAACTCCGGAGGGCAGCTTTCGTTCCAAAATATCTTCTTTTGTAAGAGATGCCAACTATGATCTTCATTTAGGAAAGGGAGATGATGAGGAGTATCATCATGATTGGCAAGCAAAGCCACATCAGTGTGCCGAGTAGTGAACAAAACTCTACTGCCATTGTTGTCGTTCGGAAAGTATCTTTTCAAGTCATTCCAGACCCCAATATTCCATATATCATCCATCACAACGAGATATATATTACCCTTCAATCGTTTGTATAACACTTCTCCCAACTTTTCATCACTTAGTGCGGAAATTTCCTCTTTATGCTTGAGAACAGAACTTAGAATGTCAAGCAACAAATCCCGTTTCCGATATATTTGAGACACACAAACCCACCCACGAATATAGAAGTGATATCGGATGAAAGAATCATTATATAATTTTCTTGCGAGAGTGGTCTTACCCAATCCGGCCATTCCGACAATAGAGACAACTTCGAGTTGCTTCTTCTGCATTCCAGCAAGTCGGTCCCTCAACATTTCTACTTGATGATCAAAGCCCACCACAATCTCCTTTTCATAAAACTGGATCACCTGTTTCTTCACAGCCGTAATCTGTTTGAAGACATCACTGAACATTATATTATGATGCATACTGAGAATTCTATGATGTATTTTTTCATTTGGATTACAAATTCCTAGGAATATATTTTCCAGGATTGCTTGGATCACTCTCCCTCTTTTGGGCACTGGGCATTCTGATTTTGGAAACCCTAATCTTTCAGGATCACAAATCAATGCTGCCTCATTCGCCACATCTCGGATTTGTGTAACCAAATATTTAACTCCATACTCCTCCGAGTCCTTGAGAAAAGTTCTCAGAAATTGTAACTCGTCAGAAATAGAGTCAACAAGAGAAAGGTGGAAACCTATTGAGCCCTCCCTTAGCTGATTCAACCTCTCAAAGAGAAAATCAACACCAGTCTCCGCCATCTCTCTTTCCAATGAGGCATTGCTTATCGTTGTCTCCAAGTCGACAGCACTATCATGAGCGCCGGCCATTCCTTCACTCTCTCGTGTATTGAGCAGAAATTGTTCGCCGGAGGAAGCTTTTTTCAGATCTCGATGATAAAACCCGCCATTAAACTTTACATCCCTCACTACAGTAGCCGACATGACTTCAATTATTAGTTTTTTTATTTTTTTGCAAATTCAGATAATTTACCAATTAGGGTCCACTTGGTAATGTCCACTTGATTCATGAGGCTAAATTAAAGATTGCATGTGCTCTCACTCCAGAAAAATTATTACAGGCTCCGGACCATAAACAAAAAAATTAAATAAAATTACAAATATATATCATCAGAAAGTCAAAAGTGGGAATCATGTAATAAGTGGTGGCCACTTCACTTTCTTGGCAGTTAATAATATTATATTTGTAAATTTAGAAATAATTTTAAAAGAATAAAAATAAAAATAAAAATAAAATAAATTTTAAATAGAAACATTTTGTTACTTATTCTGAAATTGTTGGGGGGATGGCGTAAAGTCTCTCGTACTAAGCATGGTTTGTCTAGTACAGTTTGGAAAGCAAAGGAAAAATAAAAAAAGTAGAGAGAGAAAGTTACTGCAATTTCCACACTAACTACAATTTACAAAGAACTTAGTGTTAATCGTGTTTTAATTAGAGGGCATACCTGATCATAGCAAGAAATGTTCATCATGTATAACTTCTTTACAAGTTCAGTGAATCCACAGCTGGAAGTATCATTAACAAGTCTGACATCGACCAATACATAGTCACTCCAAGAACAAGCACCTTGAATATGCCATCAAAATTTGAAATTTTCTCGTGTATTTGTCGTAAGATGATTTATTAATTGTGTGTCCATATAATTTGGAAAAATGATATATTTAATTAATTAGTGATTAAATAAATAAATATTAGATTAATATTATATTATTTGGTTAATTTATAAATTATTTTTTTGGTAATTAATTATTGAAAAAATATTTTTCTATTTGTTTCTTATTTGATGAAAAGTGAAATTAAGGTTGTTAAAAGGAAAACTGGTCATCTTTCTGTCTTTATAAAAATGCATATGTATAATATTTATGAAAACAACATGTATGATATTTATGTGTGCAAAAAGCCTAGAGAGAGAAATTGATTTCCACACTTTGGCTATTGTTTTGGAGTTGCAATTTAGTACATTGTTCATTTTGCATAAATGATCTCGACATTTGGCTTGATCTTTACAAAATTTGCAATTATAGATTGAGATACATATATTTAACTATTTGTTTATACATTATAGACATGTGAAAATAATGAAGTATTAAAATTTTATGATTCATATTTATTTGTGATTAATGTTTGACACGAATTATTATAGTTTATATGTGATATCAAAGCTTACAGTTTATAAACTCATTATTTTCTTTTTAAATACAATGTAAAATTAAACAATTGTATATTTAGTTTTTTTCCTTTTTGAATTGAACGTATATAGTATGCGTTTTTTAATTTTCTTTTAAATTTCTGTTTGCAGATTACGATCATACTGTGAGGATCAATTCGTTATAGATTTGTTTCTGAATTCGTTATAGAGTATGAACTTATTTGGTTAGAAGGTTATTTATTCATGTACAGATATCTATAGTACAAGTGATTCAAAAGTGATGAATTTTGCTTTGATGATTGTTTTTTTGTCTTATATGAATATTTTAAACAAAGTAATTAAAAATATAATTAATGATATAATTTACTATTAATATTCAATTTATGTGTTTATTTTGTTTATACCATTATCAACACTGGATTAATTGATTACACATTGATGTTACCCGAAAGATTATTGAATCATATATGTCATGAACAATATTTTATTAATACTTAAGTATTTTTGAAATTGAATCTATTCAAACTTGGATCAATTAGTATGAGTATATGTGTATAACGTTAACACGTATTGCTTACTTGTGATTTAGTCATTAATTAATTTAATATTCATATTATGTAAGGGTTAGAAACTACCAAAGTGGCCTAACTATAATGGTCGATAAATATTAATTTTAGTAATAAACATAACTTAATGATGAATATGTCAATATTCATATTATATGAGGGTTAGTAGTTGCCAAAATGGCCTAACCATGATAATTGATGAATATTAATTTTAGTAGTAAACATAATTAATGATGAATTAGTCATTAGCTAATTAGTTACCAAAGTGGCCCAAGCATAATGGTTGGTGGATTTAATTTTAGTGGTAGACATTATTACAATATTTCATTAATTACGATATTTATGACTTAATGATGAATATGTCAATATTCATATTATATGAGGGTTAGTAGTTGCCAAAATGGCCTAACCATGATAATTGATGAATATTAATTTTAGTAGTAAACATAATTAATGATGAATTAGTCATTAGCTAATTAGTTACCAAAGTGGCCCAAACATAATGGTTGATGGATTTAATTTTAGTGGTAGACATTATTGCAATATTTCATTAATTACGATATTTATGATTTTTTGTGATATACATGAATATTGGGTTTATTTAATTATGATAAATAATTCTCCAAAGGGAATTGATTTTCAAGTGTTTAAATGAACATTAAGGGGTTGTATGTATTTTTAATTGGGTAGATATAGGATATCCAAATGTAACTTATCTGTTTAATTAAATAATGCATTTCCATTGAAGGTATACATATAAATACAAATAAATATCATTATTAGTATTTTATAGTTACCACCCAAAAGGATACTGTAGTTATACATTGTATTTATATTTTAAGTTATATATACGTGTTGTTAATTCAAAACATTATTCTTATGAGTATTTTATCTTATTAAGTTTGTTTTATTACATCCATTAATTCGCATGCTACATCTGTTCTGATTCTCAATAGGATTAACTTCTCATAATGGAATGAGTAAGTTAAGTTCAAAATTTAGGTGTGCTAAATCTTGATTTAGCATTTTAAATTGAGAAACCTGTTCTTTTTACTAATGAAGACAGTGAAGAAGAAACGATTATCCATAAAGCTTGGAAGAGATCGAACAAATTAAGTATTATGATTATATGAATAATTGTTCCCCATAGTGATAGTGCTAAGGAATATTTGACCATAAGAATGTTTTCGTATTGTAGATAAATATCTAAAAGGAAAATTATTAATTGATATTACTACTATGCATTTTTGTTGGTACTCGTACCATATATGAACATATTTTTAGATGACTAATGTTACTGCAAAATTAAAAACCTTATGGATGATTGTGGATGAGAATTTTCTTGTCAATTTATTTTTAATTTCTTGTCTACTCAGTGTGGGTCATTTCGAATTAACACTGTTATGACAAGTGAAAAGTGAAAATAAAATTGACCACTACGTTAATTTAGGAAGAGACAATGCTTAAACAGCAAGGTAATCATTATGTTCATCTCATGACTCAAGAAGGTAGAAAGAAATTTGGAAACAAGCTTGAAAAGGCATTAAGTGAGCAACACCTAAAAATAAAAGACTTTGATTAATCTATTAAAAGGAATGTAATAATGCAAAAATGTTATTTATGTAAAACACTTTTAGAATGATTACATGAAACATAAAAGAATAATTCGAAAAGAAAGGTAAGTCTTTTGATTTTTGTATATTTCGAATCACTTATTGATATTCCTTCTAGGAGGGAACTATTCCGAACCAAAAGGCCGAGACACGAAAACTCAGACTCACCGTAGCCAAATATTCTATCATCAATAATCAATTACATCGGAAGTCATTCTCAGGTCCTTACTTGAAATATTTAAGTCCCACTGAGGCCCTCACGATTCTAAAACAGGTTCATGACGGGGATTGTGGCAACCACTCTGGAGGCAAATCCTTGGCACATAAGGTCCTGGCTCAAGGTTATTTCTAGCTTTACTTAGCTTGGAATGCTGAGGAGCATGCCAGAAGATGCTACAAGTGCCAGCGACATGGTCTGATGAAACATCAACCCGCCGAAGATTTGCACGCAATGGCGAATCCATGACCATTTACTCAATGGGGGGATTGATATGGTTGGTCATTTTATCCAAAATTGTGGAGAAAAAGGAATATATGTTACTAGCCACTGATTACTTCACTAAATGGGTTGAAGCCGAAGCTTACTCAAGCGTGACCCATGAACAAGTAAAGAGTTTTCTATGGAATGACATAATCTGCCGGTTTCGGGTGCCGAAGGTTATCATGATGGACAATGGCTCAAACTTAGATAATTGAAGCACAAGAAAGTTCTTCGCCGAGCATGGGATTAGGCAGAAGCTAGCTGCAGTTAGCCATCCTCAAGGAAATGGGCAGGCTAAAATAACTAACCGAACCATTTTCAGCTGCCTGAAGAAAAAATTGGAAAAGCTCAAATCAAAATGGTACGAAAATTTACTTCAGGTGCTTTGGGCATATCGAACCACCCCACGAAGGCCAACGGGATAAAGCCCTTTTGCCATGGCCTATGGGTCTGAGGCTATCATCCCCACGGAATCAGCAATTCCTACTCTTCGGACCCACTTGGTGCTCGAAGGAAACAATGATCAACAACTTGAACACAGCCTCGATCTCTTAGAGGAAAAGAGGGATGCCGCAATAATTCGGCTCACTTCGTACCAATAACAGTTGCGTAACAGTTACAATAAGCGAGTTAGGTTCAGACGTTTTGTGGAAGGAGATTGGATGCTGAAGCAGGAAACAACCGATGTAAAAAAGTTACAACCTAATTAGATTGAACCTTACAGAGTCACAGAAGTGGTAGGGAAAGGAGCTTACCGGTTGGCGGAAGATGATGGGCGTCCAATTGCACGTCCATGGAATACAATACACTTGAAAAGGTACTATCATTATATAATATGGTTTATTTACTTTTCTGTTACAGACAGCATACATCTGTTTTTTCTCCAAATGTGGCTGTTTCTAGGCCCACATAATAAAAGTTTCTTGAGTAATACACATCTTTACTCCTTATACTTTAGTAATATGAGGTGTTACTTGTTGCTACTTTCTTTTTCGTCATAGGGGGCAATACATATACCCTACTATTGATATTACGACAAAAGAAATATATTTTCACAAAGAAAGATTCCCTAATGTTAATGTTACAACAAAAGAAAGATATTTTCACAAACAAAGCAACGCCGTATTTTTTGCTTATTGATT